AACACAGTATTGTAAAGCAACTCTACCCCAATACAAATTTCTTTTAGAGGAAAAAAATACATATTCCAGGCCCCTGCAAAAAGCACCAGAGCAGCTCCAATTGGGCAAGAGGCCCAGGGATCTGCATTTTTAACTAGAGCTTCAGATCCTTCTGATGTACCCTGGATGCTGAGAATCACTGCCACCAGGGAACTCAGCACATTGAGTCACACTGAGTCATTATTTCCCTCCCTTTGTTTCATTAAATTTATTTGTATGCGCTTTAATGTTATTACCCATTTGAGTTTCTGTTAGCATTTTATCCCTGGTGAGTTCCTCTGGTTGTATATCTTTTTCCTTCAGGGTGGGGTTCAGGGCAGTTTTCTGCTTTGGTTGGTGCTTGTGGTCCAAGACTTCCTCCCCCCCTCCAGCTTGTTTACTGCTACTGACCGCATCATCCCCTCGCTACCCTCAATCATAACAGACAGTCCTGCCCACTCCCTCCTGATTTATCCTGTATTGTGTTACCTTCTTACCCTCCCCCACCTCGCCCTCCCCGCTTTTTGGCGATTTAAGGAGCTGTTTTTATTGTTTCTAGAGCCAGCACATCTGTCATATATTTCCCTCAAACTTAAAAACACTGGAAAATCACTGGTTACTTAGCACAAAGTGACGCCTGCGCTAGATAACCGTATCATCTGTTACTGGTTGTCCTGTGCTACACAGTAGGTCCTCATTAGTTACCTATCTTATATATAGCAGTGTATATATGTCAATCCCAGTCTCTCATTTGTGTAGACTAAGCTTTCTCCACAAACACGAAAAATTAAACTGTGATTATAATTGAGGAAACGGCGTAACACGAAGGGTGTTAAGGGCGGACGGTGAATAGATTGGAAAGAATTGGTCTGCTGCTATTGGAATTATAGTGATAATGAAAGTCTTACTATTTAGAAATAGAAATCAAGTTGATTTAACCTAAACAAATGAAGGATTTGCTGGAAAAAGTCAGAGAGCTCCCAGAAACATCAAACTCAGAGCACATGCAGGAACCAAGTGGCCTGGGCAGCCGAGCCTCCTGCAGAAAGTGGGTAGGGCAGGACCCTGGTCGGGGGCTGGGTGGTGTCCCTGCAACTGGCCACTTCGAGATTCAGAGCCTCAAGCAGGGGTTCTGATTGACTGAGTTCTATCCTGTGTCCCGTGTCCACTCCTCCCTTCCCCCAGTAGGGAGGGACCCTCCCTTAGAACCTCCATACTGGAAGGTGAGCCTTCCTCCTCTCCCCCATGGTTCCTCCAAAATACTAAGATGATTTGGATGTTATGTAGCTTTATGGTTCCTCCAAAATACTAAGATGATTTGGATGTTATGTAGCTTTATGACAAAAGTTCACTCCAAATATGATTCATATTCCCCTATTTCCACTGCAACAGTCCATCAGTTATTGAGGACATCTGTTTTTTTCAGGCACTGGTCTAGAGGCTCCAGTTGTAGAATCTCTAGTCCTTACCACAACCCTCTAAAGTATCTAGCAAGATGTACTTTTTCCCAGGTGGTGCAGTGGGAAAGACTCTGCCTGCCAATGCAGGAGACGCCAGAGAGGCGGGTTCAATCCCTAGGTTCCGGAAGATCCCCTGGAATAGGAAATGGCAACCCACTCAGTATTCTTGCCTGGAAAATTCCACCAGGCAGAGGAGCCTGGCAGGCTGCAGTCCATGAGCTCACAAACAGTTGGACATGACTGAGCATGCTTGCACTTCATACAGTTGAAAAAACCCAGCCTTGAAGATGCTAAGTAACTTTCTTATGGCCAGACAGGTGATAAGGGCTGAACCTAGAATGGTCTGCCGCCAGAACTGGTGGCCTGTCCACTCCAATACCCTGCTGCCTCTATGTACTATTTTCAGCTGAATTTTTTCTTTGTATCCCAAGTTGGTTATGCAAATCGAACTTGTTCTGTCTGAGCTATTATGTCCTCATTTGACTAATAAACGGTATTAGCAAGGTTCCTTCCATCTGTGTCATTCTATGTTTCTATAACTGTATTCTGAGGCTGCCATTTTGAAATGGCCCTGAGTGTTGAACTGAAGAACAGATTAGGATGAATTTGGTGAAACCAGTATCAAGTGCGACACCATTTTCTTTGGCCTTATGTAGCCATCCCTGGACGATTGTCCCCTCCCAAATCAGATCCCTGGAATCTGGCTGGAAATTAACCACAGGCCTGAATCCTTGTGGAAGTGGCTACTGAACATACAATCTCTGCCATAGGGCTGGAGATATGCTAATCACCTTTTATTCTTCGAATGAATATGTCTCAGCAGAGAATCAAAAGGGCTTTTTCAAAGGAGAAAGTGTATTTATTCACATCACTTTTATGTGGACAAAGTGAGGGGGGTTCTTACTTAAGTAACCACTCCCGATGCTATCTCAGGCCTATGTGGTTTTATGTAGATACTAAAGCTCCTTGGCCACTGTTCAGAGCCACACTCCCATTTGAAATTACAACTAGCATCAGGGCATTAAAAGGCATCCACTTTGGGTGTGTTCCTCCTTCATGAGGGATTGTTTGTGATTCATTCAATTGTGCTGTAAATGGACATTTATATAGCACCTGCTTGGGGCTAGGAATTGTATCTGCATTGAGCTCTTACTTACAAAACAGACAAATTCCTCAGCAAGGGGTGTGGAGGTGTGAGTGAGAGCAGGTAGACATTAAAACATAATGAAGACGCGTGCTTGCTAAGTCACTTCAGCTGTGTCTGATGCTTTGCAACCCTATGGACCGTAGCCTGCCAGGCTCCTCTGTCCATGGGGATTCTCCAGGCAACAATACTGGAGTGGGTTGCCATGCCCTCCTCCAGGGAATCTTCCCTAACCCAGGGGTTGAACCCATGTCTCTTGTGTCTCCTGCATTGGCAGACAGGTTCTTTACCACTGGAGCCACCAGGGAAGCCCAGGCTGATATAAATGTCATGTTTTGAATGCCTAGAGAGTATATTAGAGGAGCACAGAGAAGAGAATCACTAGATGTTTGGGGGTAAATTAAAAAAAAAAAAAATTATAGAAGTTGCATTTGAGTGTAGTTGTAATAAAAACAACTTAACCCTGAACATTAAGTGAGAAGTTCTTTGTAGGCTGAAGGACAAAAGTCTGCAAGTTTTAGAACATATAAAGTACAGGATGACTGTGAATTATATAGGAGGGGAGTAATAACAGAATGAAAGGAGAATTTTAAAGGGAGCTAAAAGAGGCCATGATATGAATAGTCATATATGTCCTGCAAAGGGGCTTGAATTTATGTTAACAGAAAACCATTGAATGTTTTCACCCAGAGAGGGGTATGATTAGATTGTATTTGTGTTTTATTGGAGTGTAATTGCTTTACAATGTTGTATTAGTTTTTGCAATACGATGGACTGAATAATCACTTATGCCATTGTTCAGTCACTCAGTCACGTCTGACTCTTTGAGACCCCATGGACTGCAGCATGCCAGGCTTCTCTGCCCTTCACCATCTTCCAGAGCTTGCTCAGACTCATGTCTATTGAGCTGGTGTTGCCACCCAACCATCTGGTCCTCTGTCATCCCCTTCTCCTCCAGCCTTCAATCTTTCCCAGCATCAGGTTCTTTTCCAGTGAGTCTGTTCTTAGCATCAGGTGGCCAAAGTATTGGAGCTTCAGCTTCAGCATCAGTCCTTCCAATGAATATTCGGGACTGATTTTGTTTAGGATCGACTGGTTTGATCTCCTTGCAGTCCAAGGGACTCTCAAGAGTCTTCCCCTATAGCACAGTTCAAAAGCATCAGTTCTTTGGCACTCAGCCTTCTTTATGGTCCAACTCTCACATCCGTACATGACTACTGGAAAAATCATAGCTTTGACTATATCGACCTTTGTTGGCAAAGTAATGTCTCTGTTTTTTAATATGCTATCTAAGTTTATCATAGCTTTTCTTCCAAGGAGCAAGCATCTTTTAATTTCATGGCTATACGTATACATATGTCCACTCTCTTGAACCTCTCTCCTCCCCCACCCCACTGCTGATTGTATTTTAAAAAGACCACTCTGTTGACAGAATGAATTAGAACAAGACAGGGATTAGGAGACTTTACAAGTCAGATTACAGGTATGATTTTACCATTTTGGTGAGGGCTTATGGAAGAATGAGAAGACTCATTGTCTTTCATAGTTTCTCTTAAAGTATAACAGCCAAAAGGATCTGATAAGAAAATGTGTAGCATTTTCAGTAGGAAATAATTGTGCTTATTTTCTTCTACTGGTCTGCAATCTTAAAAAAAAAAAAAGACAGTAAGTCAGTATAGTATATCTTGACTTTTTAGAACATAAATTTTATATAACATGTGTCAAATTTTATCCTCTGACCCATAAAATGGAATCCTCGGTTAGGGATAATTAATAAGATGTGAAAGAATGCTATTTGTTAATTGAAACTTTCACACTAGCTGTTCACCCCCTGGAAGTACTTATTTCCCATTCATTGCTATACTTAAGGACCACTTTCAAACATCTATCATGTGTCATTGAACGAGATGGGAAGATGTGGACTGCTTTAAGACATGTCAAAATGAGTAAGAGTTTTAGTAAGCTGTTCTATTTCTAATAGAAGCCAGTGAAAAAAACAATGAGCTAGTCTCCAGTGTTAAGATGGGAAAATATGAAAACCATCCCAGCTTACTCCACTCATCACCATGGTTTCATCATCTATTACACAGTAAAACAAACATAGCCACTGACTATAACCCTTAATGAGCATATGTGACTCTGATAATATTTATCGGGTTTATTTGTTTGAGGCTAACTGAAATGAAAAGAAAACAGTGCAGCATTGGGTCATTAGTCTCTTCTGACGTGTGCTGTAGCTCTAAGGAAAACATTAGTAACCTATTTTTAGCAAGTACCTTCATCCACTGAAATGATAATGGCCCACGGAATAATCCTTGGGATGGAAAACAGAAATTCCCAGAATTAAACGTTCTTGCTCATCTGTTCTATGGTCACAGGAAATCTATCAGCACCGTCATTTCTCATCAACATTGAGAAGTGTTTTACATCAGACCATTATGCAATCTTCCCCAACTAGACTGCCTTTCACCTTCATCTATACTAAGCCAAGGTCCTCCCAGCCAAAAGAAATGAAAAGCACCACCTCCTCCAGGAAGACTTTCTTTCTTTGGTAAGCATTATCACTTGTACTTTACATTATTTTCACTTACATAATCTGTTTATTCTATGTTCTTTCCCTAACTCAAAAATGTTATTAAAAAAACTCATACAGAAATAATAGGAATGAGACATTATTCTAGACACCACAGGTGTGTATGTGGGGGGTGGCAGACAGATGAAGAAGTTTCTTTCCTGCAGGGCTACAGACCCAGCAGGAGGGATAAGGCAGAGAAATAGGATCAAAAAGTAGCCTTCTGTGTTGTTTCAGTTCAGTGTCTAAGAAGGAGGTAGCCCCCTGCCACCAAACCCTGGTACTCACTGGTTGACAAGATTGTGTGAACATGGTGTGGTGGCTACAGTCCAGGCTCATGGGGTGGAAGGAGAGGAGGCCTGGGAGGGGTTTGGAAACTATCCAGAGGCATCGGTGATTCAAAGCAGGGCCTTCTGAATAAATCAAACAGATATGAATTAAACAGGGGACGTTCTCTCCGCACGATTTTGACAAGTTACATAATCACTTTGAAACATAGAAGAAGTTATAACTAAATGAGATACTGTGAAAAGACTTATTATATTACCCAGGCTATAAGTTCTCAATAAAGGGCATTTATTATCCTCATTGCTATAATTTTATGCTCCTCAGAGAGTGTGTTCCCCTTATTCTTCACCCAATGAAGAATCATAGTAATAAATTATGAAATGTCTCCCAAGACAAATGCCGTATATGGAACAGGAGTGGGGGATTCAGAAGAAACGAAACTCTATGATTTGTGAGGAAGAGATCAGAGAAGACTTCGTGGAAGAGAGGCCATTTCAGTTGGTTTGTAAGGGTCAGGTATAATTTGAGGAAGCAGAGATTCAGGAGACAGATTATCCAACTGTGAACCCAGTGACAAATGGAGAACATTTCTGCACCTCTTCCTTGGGACTCCAATATGAATTCCAGGCATTTGTTGGATATTCCACCGGAAATGGTAAGCTTCTTAGAGCAGGAACAATGATTTTACATTTTATTTACTTATCCCCGCAGAGAAGCCAATAAAAATAGAATGAAAACTTTTGTTGATCACCTGGGCTTATGTGGAAACCATTCTTATAACTGAAAGCTTAATCATACACTTAAAAAACAGAAAAGGAAGCTTGGTGAAATCTGGGGTGGATCCAAGGAGCGGGATGCAGCCCTGTTTTTCTAGATGGTTTAATTTGTGTGAGCTCCATCTCTACTCCCTAAAGAGCCTGGTATGTGTAATAGAATCATGGTGCTTTGGGTTTGTTCATTTTTTTGTAATTTCTCATTCATTGGTAAATTATTTTATTTGTAAAATTTCCAACATGTTTTCAGCTATGCAAAGAGGCAACCATGTGAAGTTGTTTAGTTTGAACATGAGCAGAAGTATTAAAATCCCAAGAGCACCATGGATCACATGGTTGGGCTTAGAGTAAGGGAGAGTCCCAGGGAAGGGAAGGGGGACTTACTGCCTCGTTACCCTTTCCCCTGAGAAGATTCTCCTTTTAGGGTTACCATGTTTAGGGGTTCATTTTGCTAAAAGAAGTTGTGCTTTCCTTGAGGGGATCTTTTGTAGAAGGGAATAAGCTACTAAGATAATAATATCACAAAAAGGTGTTTGAACAAAACCAATTTTATTTGTATAGCACCCCATTTTTCAGATTCCATATGTAAGCAACATGATATTTGTCTTTCTTTGTCTAGCATACTTCATTCAGATGGACTCTCTAGGTCCATCCACGTTGTTGCAAATGGACCTAGCAGCAATAAGTTTGTTCTTTTTTATGACTGTATAATATTCCATTATATATATATATATATATATATATATATATATAATGTACAGCATCTTCTTTATTCGTTCCTCTGTTGATGGACCTTTAGGTTGCTTTCATGTCCTGGCCATTGTAAATTGTGCTGCAATGAACATTGTGGTGCATGTATCTTTTTCAATTATGATTTTCTCTGAATGTATGTCTCAAAACAGACATAGAGTCACAAATGTAGAAAAGAAACTTATGGTAACTGTGGGAGGGATAAATTGGGAGATTGGGATTGACATATACACACTGCTATATACAGAATAGAGAACTGCTAAGGACCTACTGTTAGCACAGGGAAATTTACTCTGTACTCTGTAGTGGTCTGTATCAGAAAAGAACCTATAAAAGAGTGAAAGTGTGTGTATGTATAACTGATTCACTTTACTGTACAACTGAAACTTTGTTAGTCAACTATATTCCAATGAATAATTTTTTAAAAACTCAATAAATAAAATTATGCAACCTCCCCCAAACTAATTTTATACTATACTATATAACTAGATAGGATCAAAAATATAGATACTGAGGTTGAGGATAATAATGATGCTAAAGAAATAAATTTGTGTTTAAAAATATGCTTTAAATATGTATTCCACATGCTTTTTTTTTTTTCCATTTATTTTTATTAGTTGGAGGCTAATTACTTTACAACATTGCAGTCATTTTTGTCATACATTGAAATGAATTAGCCATGGATTTACATGTATTCCCCATCCTGGTCCCCCCTCCCACCTCCCTCTCCACCCGATCCCTCTGGGTCTTCCCAGTGCACCAGGCCCGAGCACTTGTCTCATGCATCCAACCTGGACTGGTGATCTGTTTCACCCTAGATAATATACATGTTTTGATGCTGTTCTCTTGAAACATCCCACCCTCGCCTTCTCCCACAGAGTCCACAAGTCTGTTCTATACATCTGAGTCTCTTTTTCTGTTTTGCATATAGGGTATTAGTTACCATCTTTCTAAATTCCATATATATGTGTTAGTATACTGTAATGGTCTTTATCTTTCTGGCTTACTTTGCTCTGTATAAGGGGCTCCAGTTTCATCCATCTCATTAGAACTGATTCAAATGAATTCTTTTTAATGGCTGAGTAATATTCCATGGTATATATGTACCACAGCTTCGTCATCCATTTGTCTGCTGATGGGCATCTGGGTTGCTTCCATGTCCTGGCTATTATAAACAGTACAGCTGGAATTTCATATTTACATGATTAATGTCTTGACTAAGCTTTAAGCTTCATGAGACAATGTCTGTCCATTTCTGGCCTATCACCGATCCATGAGGGCTTAGCATAGTGTCAACACACAGTAGGTGTTATCTGTTGAATAAATAAATGATTGAATTAAATCACCATTTTTATTTTCTTTTTCCCTAGGGGGATGTCAATTCTTTTGTTTACAAGTTTATTATGACTGTAAATAACTACTAACATTTGCCTAACTCCTACCATTTACAAAACACTTTAAAAATACTCAATAAATATTTGTTTACTATTTACGTGAACAGTGATAAACAACACAGCAATGGTCTGCCACCTCCAAAGCTCAGAGTAGCGCGCGCGCATGAGAAAAAGAGAGAGAGAGAGAAGGAAAGAGATGACCCATCTCAAAAGAGGGTGATAAGTGCTATCACAGAGGAAGTATAAAAGTACTTGGAGGGCTAGGGACGGCTTCCTGGAAGACGTGACACTGATGACCCAAAGGATGAATAATTCTCTAGACCACAGGAGTTCACCTCCTGGAATTTTCATGAGTTCCTGGGAGGATGGCCTGGCAAGTACCTCACAGTCAAGGTTACTGAGGAAGTTAAGGGACTACTAGCTCCAGACCACACAGCCAAGAAGCAGTGGGGCCAGCACTGGAGGCTCAGCCACAGGCTTGGGGTTCCCTTCAGGGGCATCCCTTCTTGCCGCAAGCCACTGCAGGAGGCCCTGGCTGTTCTCTGCTCCTGGGCCTGACCAACCACCTGATCCTGCAGGGGTTCTCAGCAGTGGACTGGCTGTTTGCACAACTCACCTACTCATAAAATTCTGAAAAAGCTGCTAACCCAATCTTCCCCAGTAGTTTTCTATCATCAGGGAGCAAGCAAACAGAGATTCTGTAAGTTCACACCTCAGAAAACATGCCAGACCCTGGACCACTCTGCAAAATTGCTAGGCTGGTAAAGGCCCACTTGAGTAAGCCCTGGAGTTTCAGTGTGTGATCTGGACCCTCCCCCAAAGGGCTCAAATTTCTCTGTAGAGTTTAACACTGAGAACTATATTTCAAAATTCTCAGTGGGAACCCCACCAACAAGATGTGGAAATGAAGATTCAAAAAGGGAAGGTCTGTGATCTATTAAGGGCTTTGCTGGTGCCTCAAATGGTAAAGAATCTGTCTGCAGTGTATGAGAACTGGGTTCAATCCCTGGGGTCTGAAAGATCCCTTGGAGAAGGGAATGGCAACCTTCTCCAGTATTCTTGCCTGGAGAACACCATGGACACAGGAGCCCGGTGGGCTACAGTCCATGGGGTCACAAAGAATCAGACATGACTAAGCGACTAACACTTTAACTTTTTTTTTTCATGATCTATTAAGAGTCCCAGAGACAGCAGTTGTGACAGAAGTGGAACTTAGGTCTTCTAATTCTAAAATCCTTGTACTTTTTTTGCAGCATTATGCTGCCTTCCAACATCCCAGCATTCAAAAAGAAACCTGTGTAGGTTATACCCTAGCATTCAAGAAACATTCATAAGCTTCAAATTACAAGTGTGGTGCCAGTGATGCCTTGACCTTCGGTCTAGAATAAAGCTTTTGTTTTAACCTATTGCAAGCCACAAGAACATTTACATACTTACTGGTTAAGAGAGTTGGATGTTTTGGTTGCTCTCATGCCATCATTAATATTTTCCCATCCAGCCAAAGTGATACAACAATCGATAAATAGCCTCTCAGAGGCCCCAAGACAGCTGAATGTATTTACCAGCCAGGGTTTTTGTTAATTAGATAAAGTCCTTGGATCAATGTGCAGAACATTTACCTATATTGGAGCTAAGCACATTCTCGACACCTTAATCCGGGCACAATGACAGCAAGTGCCTCAAGCCCCAAGCTGGGGCATCCGGGGACAAGAATCAAACCAAGCCATCAATGCAAAGCTAGAATAAATGTGTTTGGCCTCCAACAAAACCCAACCCTTTCTTTTTTCCTGTGTTGCAAATCAAATCAGACTTTTTTTCCAAAGGTACCTAGTAAACAAGTTTTAGCTGATATGAAGTACTTTAATGTCTAAAGCCATCAAACCAGAAATCAAAACAAGATGTCAAAACAATCTCTAGACTGATCTTTGAAGCAGCATGGCATGTACTGCAGCAAGAGTCAGAAAGACCCATTCAACTGTCTACTTAACATCTCCACTTGAATGTCTCACTGAAATGTTAAATTCAACATGTTCAAAACTGAACTCAATCTTTTTCTCCCAACCCAGTCCTCCTCCCTGAGCAGCTTCATCTCAGAGAATGGCAACAGCATCTCCACAGCTGATTCAAGCCAGAAAACAGAAATTCATTCTTAACACCTTCTTCTCCCTAATCAACCATAGGCAAATTCATTCATTCAAGATTCACCTACTGAGTACCTCCTATGTACCAGGCACTGATGCTGTTCTAAACATCACCAAGTCCTGTCTAGTTTACCTTCTCCATCTCTGCTACTGACACCTTACTCCAAGTCACCACCTGCCACCATCCTTTCTGGTCTGGACTACTACAGTCACTATCAACTGGTTTTCCTGCATCCACCGCAGCTCCCTATCAATCTATTCTCCATGGAGCAGCCAGGGTGATCTTTTAAAATTACATATCTAGAATATGTCACCACATGTCTCTCTCTCTCTCTCTCTTTCTGTCACATACACATACCTTCAAATTCTTCAATGGCTGCCCACTGCTCTTAGTAAAAATAAAAAACATTAACATAGCCAACAGATCCAGTGTGATATGGTCCTTGCTTAACTCCCCAATCTTATTTCATGTCCTCTCCCACTTACAGTCTGGACTTCTCTCAATTCCTTTGCATCTTTTCTTGACTCAGGGCCTACTGTCCTTTTAAGTAGATATTCTTCTAGCTTTCTCTTTATCCTTCAGAGTTCACTTCAACCTCACTCAGATGCTTTAGCTACAGATAACATAACCCCCTCCACTCCTCCCATGCTCAAGATTAGACTCCCAAGTGTCTTGTGCTTCACTTTTTAACAAAGTTTTGCTGAGATATAATTCACACACCATAAAATCCATCTATTAAAAGTACACAACT